AAACAACGAACAAAAGAAACCAGATGGACAGATTAGATGGGCTTGGTGAGCTCGATGAGTTGAAACGTGGAGGAATTTCAGCATGGAATGAGAATGGTGAATGCAACAAAGCGTCCCACTCACGCGAAACAGAGCCAGCGAGATACGTGTGATCTTCTCTCGTTCCGCTTCGCGCATGATATCCGAAACGGTAGGCAGCAGATTGGAATTCTTGCACATCACTGCAACATGACTTGCATCAAAGCTCATGCACCAAAGACAAAATATGAGCTGATATTGCAACTGACGACTTGTGGTTTTTTCTCCCAAAACATCTACAATGCTACATGTACAAAAGAAAAGTGAAATTAAATCAACCGAAAAGGACGATAGAGTGTACTAAATTATACTTCTGGACGACAGTTTCAAACGGGATAAGTGGTGGCCAAGTGGTTAGGTCACTAACTTGTGACCTAGGAGTCCCAGGTCCGAACCGCTCCACCGCCGCCCGTCTTCCCTAATTCTATATCTTCCAGACAGTCTCTGTATTGCCGCGGCCCCCTTCCTGAATGTTGATTGTACATTTTTATGTTCAATGAAGAAAAAGGAAGTAAAAAGACTTTGCATTACATTATATTACAAAATCAACCGCCGGTTTTATTGTAGCGAATTGTTGAGTACAAAGCACTTGATTGGATATCGAGGTTTATTGAACACTTTGTATATTTGACCCCATCCAAAGGACGTATGTTCCAGTGAAGTGGACACCGGCTCCCAATGAATCGCGGTTTTCACACACCGCACCACCGCCTTGCGGGTCAGGCTTCGACCAACCGAAGGCTCCGATAGTGAATTCCCCAAGAAAATTCACCTACCTTGACCTGGGCAACCTGGCAGTATCGTACTCACAAGCAAATCATGGACCTATGTTTCATTTTATAAAGATCATTGGCACACAGTCTGGACTCAGACTATATTTACTATACTATATACACTATATACTATACCATACTGACATTCACGGAAAGTAACAATGAATCATCGCAGGCCAGAGAAAAAACTAAATTTTAACCTAATCCGTCTAAGTCCGGTTCTGGCAACCTTGAAGTGTTGGGCCCACAAACTGATGGACCGATTTTTTGTGACTGTTGAACCGTGGTTTGTTTGGTGTACAATCTGGGTTAAGACAGACGAATATAAATGTAAGGACCTAAAAAGTTGATTTCCTGTAGTTAGATACGACAGCTTTGGCCAAGTTCTTTAGCGCTGCGTCGCATTAACCGCCCGCACCAAAAGCTTCAGTCATCTGTCTGAGGCAGTACCGAAATGCCGAGGGTGGATAAGAAGTGATTAAAATTTCCAGTGTTATTCGACCGCCTATCTAGGAACACTGCAACTGAAGTTGATGATGATGAAGTTGACAGCACACTTTGGTTACAGCATGACGGTACACGGCCACACACTGCTCTGGTGGTCTCCTCTATTCAGAATTTAACTGCAGACAAATTGTCCGAGGAGGACGAAAGGATCGGCCTCTAAGATGACCCGATCTGTCTCCTTTGAATTTCTTTCTGTGGGCATATTGAAAGCGAACCATTTGTTCCCGAAAACCGAGAACGATCGAGAGCTCAAACAGAGTATCGTCGCGCAGTACGAAAGTATTCCAACTGTTACTATCCTGAAGGTGGTGGAAAACTATCTTCGCCGTATTCTGCTATGCAAGCAGCAGGATCGAAAATATACTGAATGACTTGTAAAATAAATATGCATTTCTCAATAACGTTTTTTCTCTCCTACAGAATTCAATCTACGACGTAGTTAGCAAGATCGTTCAACGAGAGAAAGCCAGTTGGGAAAATGCCAAGAAGAGTTTTGTCTTGGCCTATATTATTGCATATTGTAGTTCATACTTAAGACAAATTCAAAGTTTTATCACGCTTATCCGTTTACCGAGCCCACTTAGAAAAATAGTTTATCTAAGACGAGAGTCACCATCGCCTGAGCATTTCCCATTCGGAATTTCCCACATGGCGTACCGTTCCACAGCTGATTCTCCTGCGATGATTCTCTACTAACACTTAAGCAGCATCGGATTCGGAACGTATCCTCTTCCTCTGCCGGTGTGAAAACCACACGACCGATGGGTTTACTTATCAATCGTCTAGTTCAGCCAGAAGGGGCCTGGTGCTTGCCCCTTTTCCGTAGTATATGACATCAGTTGTGCACATTTTGCACGAGACTCTATGTTGTAGCAGTTATCACGCCGATGAACCTAATTCACGGTCTCTTCTATAGTGCTGTACATTGCAAACATTCAACCCCATTTTACGTCGTCCGCTACCACCCCTTTTGTACCGAGAACACTTCATTCATGAGCATGAACGTTCGTGGTGAGCACTGTTAAGTCTACAGCTCGTTTGCCTGGCCAAGTGAAAAATGAGGTCATTGTGTGAGAGACCCCGCCAAACCTTGAAGCGCTCCTTTTAGTTTCGTATTTAACCAAGCCTTCGTCGGTTTGCACATGGTGGCACAGCTCTGACTGAATCGTGGATTGCATTGTCCAGTCTGTGTGCAAACAAGTAGACAAGATCAGCGTCGGTGCATATTTTTGTTGAGAGTGGGACGATATTCTCAGGGGCCATAGTTCAGCATTCAGGTAGGACGCAT